GAGCAATTGGTGGAATGAAGATTTGAGGTTTTCACGGCGGTGACCACGAAGAATGTCGTCTTTTGAGATTTGGCGCCGTGTAGATATTGTGTTAACCGACGGTTCGGAGGAACGTATCGAGTCATCTGTTCCTCGCTTGCGGATTTTTTATATTCTGAAGATGGAGGCGATACTTTCCTCCGAAACGTCGGTTAACACAATATCTACAAGGTGTCACATCCCAGAAGACGGCATTCTTCATAGGGAATGAAGATTGGAAGTGGAAACCGAAGTACTCGGAGAAAACCTGCCCCAGTGCCAATTTGTCTACCACAAATCCTACATGACCTGACCCGGAAATAGCGGAAGTAGCGGCTCCTGTCTAGAAAACCGAAATTAACGGCCGTGGGGATCCGTTGCGCTGTCCACGCGACACCCTCTATCCACTAAAGTTGACAATAACTTCGCCGACAACCGGCGGTCGCTCGGTCGGTATGGTTCTCTTGCGCACGAAAACCATGGAGTTTGTTTTATTTGTATATCACTGAGGTGTGTGGAGAGTGAGGAAGGCAAATCTCCGGCTCGAGATTCAAACCTAAAACCTGCCGAATATGCAGACAGTTTCTAACCACTCAACTACTATAATCATCGCTTTAAGATTTTGTATATAGGAATTCCGAATATACAAAATGAATTATTGTGTTAACGGGCCGAGATGTAAACAAATTATTTTCTTAAGTCGAAGTGTTTTCTATCATCCGCCATATTTTGAGAAGTGCCGCGCATATTGGGTGTTCACCTGGAGCAAGCAGCTGTAACTCTCCTGACAGTCGTGGATCTGCTCGAGAAAGAATGTTTATTCCACTTCCGCACTGTGCCTCGGAAAAACTGTTTGTGTTGGACATAAAGAGGAGCATCGCGTCTGCCCATTACAATGACAAATTTACATTGAATCCTATGTTAATATATGAGGTGTCGGTGGAGGAACTTACGCTGAAATAATAGAACACAGATGTTTGTTCTCTGCTCACTCAACGCATGTGTATCGCTTCCGTAACATTAACACAATGAAATTGGATGTTATTTTTAGTTGATGCTCAACGCTTTGTAGAAGTGATCCGAGCAGAACTTTATTTATTGGTGTTGTACTAAATTTAATTAACCTTAAGCAAGGGAAATGCCTACGTCACCAGATTGCAGTTGCTAATATGATCTTCTCTGAATATACAGACTCGATGGTTATTTAATGACACTGCTTAACTGCATACGTTTCAATGAATATATCCTACAGGTTAGGCTTACACTTTAATTATGGATAACTTCGACCACTAGTCCGTAGAGGCGGTGGAAACTGGAAAAGAAAGTACAAAAAAAAAGAGTTTATAAAAAATTCTCTGCTGAATTTTCAATACGCCCTTTCTGCTGGTAGACTGCAGTACCGAAGGGCAGGGAAGCCCAGTCGGTTGGGGCACTATGCTACAAGCCGGAAGGTCACAGGTTCGAGTTCCGTTGTGATAACTGGACTTATCAATTGACCTAATCCTTCCAGCCGCACTATGGCCCTGGGGTAGACTCAGCCTCTAACAGAAATCAGTACCAGGAATCTTCCTGGGGGTAAAGGGCGGCCGGTGTGTAAGGCTTAAAACCTCACTGCCATCTGTGAGTCGACTGTCTAGAAAAAAAGTGGCAGTCTCGACGTCTCACTACCCAATGAGCCTCCGCGGTCTGTTACAGGGACAGCTTTACCTTTAACATCATCCTGATACGATTGTAAAATCATTGGTGTTTCCAAAATTTAAAATAAAGTTTCAAAATATAGGTCTACGATAAATTTAAATGTGAAATTTAAAGTTCTCGTGGAAATGGTATGAAAATTACTGTCTTCTGGACCGTGTAGTCCTTCGACGTTTACTTGTACCTCGGAGAAACGTGTTGCCTTTCTCTCAGTGTATATGACTACCCTGGATATTGAGACCGAACAGACGTCGGTCTGTTTCTATCAGACTATATGGCGTCACCTTCACAGATCAGAAATGTTAGATCATTTCCGGAGCAGAACAGCACCGTCGGAGGTCCGAAAGAGAGGGGTAACTGCCAAGCCTCTCGTTTGCAAAGCGTGGCCTGATGAAGATTCTTGTAGCACACACGTCCGTGAGACACAACAAATGTTTCTGTTGCCTTAACCAAACCAATCATACAGTGGTAACAGTCCCGTTCATCAGTGTCTCTAAACCGCTTGTGAAATGGTGCTTTGCTGACTTTGTGCCACTGCCAAAAGCATAGCATCTCTTCCAAGCAACATCGTTAAGGCTGCACTTAAATATAGGTTGAGACATCATGTATCACTTCAAACAAATTGGGACTGAAATTATATTAGTGTGACCTACGTCTGTTATAAAGCGGAGTGACGCTTGCTTGCTTGTCATATATAAAAAGTTAAGTGAGCCATGATTGATGAATGGCAAACCACGTTTAGCACGAGGCTTCAAATTGACAGATCTAATAAAAAGATGGTACACGAGATGCGATTCAAATGTGCACTGACGCTGAACGGTCACGTTTAGTGTACTCTCCGTCATTTTGATGACACAAAGTTAAAAATGTGGAAAGATACAACTTTGTTACTCGAGGATTTCCTGCGCCAAGTTTGCGTTCTGGAAGTTAAACCTGAGTCGTAAGGAAGGGTAAAAAAAAATGAAGCCGCATATAGACCTGTAAAGTTTCTTGTGATGATCACACAAGACAAAATACTAGATTAAAAGGTCTACCGCACAATAAGGACATGGTAGAAGAACATAAGAAGTACTAACTTAGAAACAACATAAAACTCAATATACGTACTATTATAACGGATTTGATCAAAGCATTCTTAGGCAACAGCTCGGTGAACAAATTCCAACGCATGCGTCAAGCAACAATAGAGGAAGCTCTGTTTTCTGTGGTCCGTGCCGAAAGTTAATAACAGAGCTGGAATATCGCTAGGAGCATAACCCGTGTGGAGGCGGGGTCGAATACCTTCACCGTAGCCCTGCGAGTCGTAGAAGGTGACGAAAAAGTAAGTGTCGAATTTGAGAGAGTAAAATACAGTCGCGAGTCCCAAGGGACACGGACCCGAGAATGCCTGCGCTGGCGAGGGCCGGCAGCGATTTTAAACGACAGACTCGTCCTCTCGTCAGAGAGAACGTTCAACATCAACAAACCCGCAACAGCCTGACAGTAATAAAAATCTGGTCGTGAGCTCCAGACGGGTTCTTTATTCGAAGACAGACTGCCCGACTGACCGTCGGTCCTAATACTGAGACTGCAGACTCAGCTGGCAGAATTTGAGTTCCGAAGTTCCAGGGGAGCAGTAGTGTGGCCAGAAGTCGTAGAAGGAATTATACTTAGTGTAGGCTTTACATGTGTGCTGTAGTACAGTGGTATTAGGAGTACGTGATTACGTCAGACTTTTAATAGTTCCCATGTAAAATCCGTTGGCAGGAAACGGATAGTGAAAAAATTGTCAAGGCTTAGCTACAGCTGATATCTGTTACCTAGCAACGACTAGTGCAAGCAGATATAGAAGAATTTATTTATGTGTTATAATTACAGTAATCTGGAGAATGTTATAATTAATTGTAGTTACAACTAGTGAATATCCACTAAAGCGTTTCACAAGTCCAAACCCCGTCTACCGGTCACTAAAAGACTTGACACATATTAAACTGCCTACAAAATTAGAGTATTTATGTAGTGCCACAGGACAGAGATACTAAGAAATAACCGGAAATAGTTGCTAATACCACTTTTAAAACTTCTTCGAATTGGGTTTGAGGCATATACTCATTATATTGAAGAAGAAGGGGAAGTCGATTTGTCATGTCAGTATCAATTCTTAAGATTTCGGCTGCTCAGACAACATATACCAAATTTTATATAATCCTATGTGAGGTTTGATGTTCTGATGCTGGTAAACATAAAGCGGATTTTCTGTGACACGGCACGGTATATTCTGGCAGCTCTTACCGAAAAACGGTGTAACTTGCTGCCTCCAGCAATGAAAACGCAGTATCGAGTTGGCCGTGTTTTCTCACAATTATATTTCCTTGCTATAAAGGAANGATGGAGGCGATACGTTCCTCCGAAACGTCGGTTAACACCACATATACACGGTGCCAAATCCCAGAAGACTGCTTTCTTCGAAAATTTACTTGTCTACCTACACAACTGAAACCTGGATACAGAGGGAACATGCTCCTCCGAAGGGTCTCTGTCATGAGCCTGCAAGGCTGCACAGTATCTTAACCCATATGACAATGATCTGCCATACAGTATGTTTAAACTCAGTTTTCCTATATGCAACTATTCCATTTTAAACCACCTTTCCTTATGTATTAGATAAAAGGTAAAACTATCCCTGTAACAGGCCGTGGAGGCCCATGGGGTTGCGAGACGTTGAGGTTCCCATATTATCTAGACAATCGGCTCATAGATGGCGGTAAGGTTGTCAGCCTTACGCAACGGCCGCCCTTTACTTCCCAGGAAACTTCCTGGTACTCATTTCTCTTAGAGGCTGAGTCGACCCCAGGACCATATTGCGGTTGGAAGGATTAGGTCAATTGAAAAAATCGAATGATCTCATCGGAATTCGATCCCGCGACCTCCCGGCTTGTAGCATAGTGCCTCAACCAAGTATGGCACCGCGTGCCCTTTTATGTATTAGATACAAGACATAATTCTTTTAGACAGAGCGGGATAGGGTAGCGATAACGGTGTAGACTCGCAATCAGATGTGCTCGGTTCGAATACTGGCAGTGGCACAGGCAATCCTGGAAGATATTTTTCTTTGTTATTCTTTGTCCCGCCACACAAGTTCAAGAACTGTACCTCGGTTAGTTCACAGTCGCTCCCTTCCAGCGTTCCGTCGCATCATTCACCTACCAAACGTTAACTACAAGGCGAAGCTCCTGGAATAACTCTCACCCAGCGAAGTAATGTTGTCTAGGGGACAGTAAAGTACAGAAACACCCATGCACACTTACCCACAAGCGTAACCTGAGCACTAATGGGGATATAATGGTCGGCCTGCAGAAGAGCTCTGGGCGGTCCCCACAGCCGGTGTTGAGTCTGTGAACAAGAGAAACTTCTGCAGGAACTCGGACACAAAATCCTCGGTCGTTCGGCCCGTGGGCCTTGCTGGTATATGGAATGAACTATCCGGCTCTGCGGACAGAGTTGATTTCTTACTGTGATGACTTCTGTGAGGGTAAAGATCCTCCATTGAAGGGTACTTACGTTAATTAATAATAGAGGCAGGCTTGCTAGAGATGAGTTCCATAAATGTAACAAGAATGTACTCATGCTGAATCAGATCATAACCTACAACTTTGCTAGCTCTGAGATCCTTGCAGCTTACCGATTTCTGGTGTGTGACGCAATGTGAACAGATGGAGATGGATGGATGGATGGATCGACAGACAGACACTTTTTTTAATTCGCTTAGTGGGGGGTGGAGTCCAGCTGGATCCACTCGGCACGGCGGCCACTGATTGGTCTATTGTATCTGCCCCGGGTGATTATGATAATGGAGAATTCTGTAGAATGAAGAATGGCAGGGGAAACCGAAGTACTCGGAGAAAACCCGCCCCAGCGCCACTTCGTCCACCACAAATCCCACTTGACCAGACACGGGCTGTCACCGTGGGGAGCCTGCGACTAACCGCTTGAGCTATGTTGCGGCCTACATAGATAGACAGATAGAAAGAGGGGAAACCACTGCCTATATCTACAGCATAGTAGAGGACGTCGTAAATTTCTACCAGACTGCATGGCGTCACATCCAAGACACCAGTAATCTTCGCCACGTAATTAATGTAGATGAATGGTGACAATTCAACTCATTTCGAGAAACAGAATATTTTTCTAATGAGAACAGAAAGCAATCTGTATTAACGACGAGATAATTATGATATAAATACGTCATCTATTCTGAGTAGCAATAAAGTCAACGTCCTCTTCTTTTAGAGCAGCAGAGATGTTTTGAGTGAGACCAGGGTGTAGAGAACGGTAATGCAGACGTCAGGATTGGTAAAAACATGTACAGTCATTATACTAATAAAGCACAGTGACACGGCGCAAGATAAATGTAGCAAGGAGCTATCCTTTTCGTCGCCGATGTAGACTGGAACAGACTAACTGTGTAGAGACGTTGGCAAGCGGTATCGCCCGATATTGCTGTTGACAAATGGGAGACATTCTTCTGGCTGAAGTGGAAACACACGAGACCATAAGTAATGCCACAACTATGATATGGTTTGAAGATTTCTGCAAACTAATATATATTTTCATGGACATGAAACACCGTGTATTACAGTAAAGGATAATGGTATGTAAAACATGTGACAGAGGACAATTTTGAGGAAATTGCATGGACCGGTAAGTTGGAAAAGAGTTCCGAGTATCTGACCTAACAAGAAACAGATCTTGTAGCGGATATTAAATGAAAGAGGTTGGAGTCGTTTCGGGATGTGACTAGAATGGCTCAAAACCGGTACATAAAAATATTTCAGAAGGGAGAAGTAAAATGGGAAGTCGTCGGTTTAGATGGATGGAAAATGTAGAGGATACTTTACGAGAGCTGAAAACGTAGAGATGGAGGAAAAAGGCAAATAATAAAGAAGAAAAGGCGTCTATCGTATAAAAAAGGCCCGACCGTAAAGCTAAGGAGTAAAAGTACTATTTCTTTCCATGATTTATTTAAACCGTCTTGTAGTGCATACACTCATTTATCTCCTTCTCTCCCTCGCACTACATGTTTCGGCATAATAATGCCATCTTCAGGTGCTTACTTATCCACGCCAAACTAGTTCATTGCATGCCTTGTCCTCATATTAAAATAACTAAAATATGTATATATCTTATACATTGTCAAACGTTAAAAATATTAAAATTGTTCAGGATATCACATCACTACGTCGCACCTCACTACGCCAGTCACGCCCATTCTCCTCTGTTGGAGCACTCCTTCACTATCATGTGTGTGTTGTGCTTTTGTTGTGTCTTGCTCCTGTGACTGCGTGTGTTAAATCAGTGCAACAGGACGCTAAAATATAACATTAGTACTATTTCTTTTCAAGTTACAGTACATGAATGGGTCTGGTAGCGCGGCAAAGACATGCACAGACTAGGAAAGGGTTGCGTTTTCCAGTCTTGTGAATTGGGGTCACATGGAGCTGTGGCATAAATATTGAGATTATTTCCGGGGTTTCATGGGCAAGAAAGGAAATTTGTCCTACTGTCACATCCAGAAGACCCGAGTCTGAAAACGTATTGATGAAAATCAATTGCTTCGGAAGTCACTTCGGTTACAGACTGCAATACGCCTACTTATGGAATTGTACTCTTTATCGGACATCCTGGTTAAGGGGAAATATCTCAGACCGAAGAAGACCGACATGACCATCAAAATTCTATTTTGAATGCAATATTTGCATTAGGTTACGAGGAACTGCAGACATTCAGCTGCTGAAGAACCACGTACAAGTTTTCCAACATCGAACAACAACGCCATCATCAGAAGAGCTTATATATATGTATATATGAAGGTTATAGCGTGTTACATGATCTTGCGAGTTAATTTCTCTTATTAAGTGGAAGAAGTGAGGTTAGAAATGTCCCTGCACTCTTTTCGCTATTTCACAATTCATAGCAACGGTCATAACACTCGGACCGAGCAAGGGCCAATGTTACTGACATGCATTCGAAGATGCCTGTAACGAGTCGGCTATCATTACAGAGTTTTCATGGTTTTCTTCAGTTCTTCGAGGCAAATCCCGTAATATTTCTTCAAGTTAGGCCACGATCGCTTCCTTCCAGATACTTATCAATTCATTACACACTAGTGACACCACTAGTCTCGGATACTCAGAGCATCATTAAAGAAGCCATAATGAACACCAGCTGAGTAGTAGCAACAGCATGGGAGGCGCCATATCTGCGCAGAATTCGAATCTACTCCCACCCCTTCCTAGGTTGTCGTAGGCCTACATGTTTACTTAGAGCCCCGTCTCTCTCCACTGCCCGCGCAGACGTGAAGCTACAGGAAACTGCATGGAATTCACCCAATCAGAGTCAGTGTACGTATGTGATGAAGGATCGATCTGTAACCGGCAGCAGACATCATTCGATACAGCCAGGTTTACTTAACAGAACATTACACACAGCACGTTTCATTTGCCAGGGGATGAACACTGTTAACTAAATTTAACAGTCAGTAGGTCATGTATATCCTTGTAATATAATCGTGTTTCGAGTTTCTATCGGCCGGCATCACATGGGTCAAGTAGGTCTATGTTTTGTACCTCTGATGTTCTAATGCAATCAAAAAGTATTCGACTCGCTTATGATGACAACAGAAGTGGCACAAGACTATCACAAAATATTGTCTGTGTGACGCTGAGGAGCTTCATAACTTGTACTCTTCTGCAGGTATAATTAGAATGATCAAGTCAAGGAGGATGAGGTGGGCAGGGCATGTAGCACAAATGGGGAAGAAGAAGAATACATATAGGATATTGGTGGGAAAGCCAGAAGGAAGGAGACCACTGGGAAGACCTAGGCCTAGGAGGGTGGACAATATTAAAATGGATCTTAGAGAGACAGCATGGGATGGTATGGATTGGATAGATCTGGCTCAGGATGGGGACCAGTGGAGGGCTCTTGTGAACACGGAATTGAATCTTCGGGTTCCATAAAATGCTGGGAAATTCTTGAGTAGCTACAGAATTGGCGGCTCCTCAAGAAAGGCTCAGCTCCATTAGTAAGTAAGTAAGTAATTGACGGATACTACCCACATTTGGCAATAAGACACAAAAGGAATGTAATGCAGTAAACCCTCGCTAATCCGTAGTATCTAGGGGGAAGAAGTAATCCGGATTAGTGAAGCAAAAGATAGTACCAAAATACAAAAAAAAAAAACATTTAAAACACAATCAAATGGAAAATTTATTCATATAAGGAGTGCTGATGAAAATAAAGAACAAAATATCACTGTAGAGCTTTTATTTAAAAGAAGACACACTAATGTAGGTTTGAAGAAACTGTCCCAAGTTTTGCCTGAACAGACAAGTGACTCGTCTGCCTTCCTAAATTATGCATTCAACTGTGAACATCATTTTTCATTTTTCATATCTCGATCTGGATTAACTCTAACCGGACTAGCGAGGGTTCGCTGTGATGTCATAATGAAATGAACATCGCGTTGTAGTGCCGCTTGGCTTGCTGTGTGTTGGATCCAATCCTGAACCAGTTGAGCAGTTAGGCTGAGGACACGCAACTGAACCCAGTCGACCTAAGCAGTAATGCATCTGAGGCTATGAAGACAGGCCCTAAGCTTCACAGTGACAGGGACGTACTGTAATCATGTGCAAAACAGATGGGCCTGCCTGCACTTGGGCCATCGCAAGGCTTCATTACACGGAGTGACCCGGACATTTGGGCTCCGTGCGTGCTTCTAGAAGCCCAAGGTTTGAGCGACACCGGGAGGAGGGCGGGAAAAGTATCCCGGCTGAAATGTCCGTGGTTTTGGTTACGTCTTCTGATATTTCTGCTGTAGTTGTTCCTTGTTTCATTTCAAAACACCTGGAATGAAAAGAGCGTAGAAGAAACCGACCACAAACTGTTTTGAGGTATTTATAGCAGCAATTGCCCCTTAATAGACTCCTTTGACCACGTGCCTCATACGCGTGCCACAGAAGTTGTCGCTGTGCCATGGTGAGGACTCATTCATGAAGAAGAAACGAACTTTTAATTTTAATGAATATGGATTTTAAGTGCAGTCTTTTGCCGCGGTAAATATCCCTCTCTTATGCGTTTTGACGCGGTATAGTCTGACCGCCTCTGTGGTCTAGTGGTCAGAGTTCCTGGCGACAGATCCAGAGGTCCCGAGTTCGATTTCCGGCACTACCAGATTCTCTCAGAAGTTGTGGGTCTGGAACGGGGTCAACTCAGCTTCGTGAGGAAAACTGAGGGCCTATTTCAAGGAAATAGCGGCTCCGGTCTAGAAAACCGAGATTAACGGCCGTGGGGATTCGTAGCGCTGACCACGCGACACCCTCTAC